GAATCACCAAAAGAAAGAGAAAGAACGAAGGGTGGTTACCATATCCTACCGCGAACGATTTCCATGTATACCTTGCGTTCCGGTGACCCATGTACTTCTGCTTCACGAAATCCGCCTCGTACGATTTCTCGCAGCACTCGGACTTTTTAACCGACTCCGCCTCGTCGGTGGTTTCGTCATCCATTTCGTCTTCCGCCCTGCTTTTCAATCTAGATAAACAGTCGACAAAATAATGTACCTCCCGCTGACGCTATCGGAGAGTGCACGTGTCCCTCTTAAATCATAACCGTCGTAACGCATACCTTTCCCTAGGCTCTATATCATCGTCATCGCTATCACTAAAAGCGCTTTCATCAGTCTCTGTCAAAAAGATAACGCATGTATTCCTAATCATCGTAAAAGTACATCGATCAACGCCGGTATATATCTCTACTCACTTTTTTGTATATCACTATATCGCAAATGTTTGTCATGACTTCTCCCTGAAATCGTGGCGCTGCTATGACTTCCAGACGGCCCTGCGAACCGATCGTGTCACTGATACTCGCAACGGGAACGTGCAATTGCTCATTATCGTCGGGGGATACGTACCAGCGTGATAACTATCGCGGATCAATTCGTCGGCCATGCCGAAGGATATCGTCGCGCTCGTCGAGCCTTTATTCGTGTAAGTCAAACGCGCGGCTGGCTCGCTGCCGTGTCTGCAATTCAAACGCGAACAGATTGAGAGATGCACCCTTCCCGGACGGGGGTAACCGGACTGAATCGTTACGGGCATACTTCTCAAGGAATCCGTCTCGCATTTTGGTCAGTCTATCCTGAAGGTTCTCCATCATATGGCCCTCAGCTTTGTTCTCCATACTGGTGCACGGATTCTCGTCGCTGCTGCTCTGATCCGTTTCCGGAGCCTCGTTGCACTCGTCCAAAGTGCGGGAAGAGCAAGGCTGCACACTTGAACACTTGTTATTCTGGAACGCGTGGTTCCCAGAGTCCGTAGGAACATTTGAATTGCATTGAACCGGGTTCTCCTCGACGGATTCGTTCGCATTCGTAGCCTCTGATAGAGTCTCAGGCGGAGCTGTAGTTTCCTCCGTCATCGCGGATTCATTCGCGTTCGGTTCGCTCGGTGCACCACTGGAACTCGCCTCCGCGACACCTATAAAGGTATTTTCGTATCAGGTGGTACTTGGAACGACTGGAATAATTGAGGTGTTCGAGAACAGGTGTAAGTACCTGTTTCTTGACTACTGCTTTGAGCAGCGGCGGCTGCTTCTCCACCCTCAGCCTCATTTTGTCTTTCCGCGGTGTTCTCCGTCGCGTTTTCGTTGTTGCTCTGAGTATTCTCTTGGTTTAAAACTACGCCCTCTAAACTGTCTTCGCCGCCGCCGCATAGAGCGGCTCTAGTGACCGGATCGTTTAACATTCTGCTAAGAACTTCCGTCATCCTCTGCATTAAAGAATTATGAAGCACCGGTCTGGCTTGAGCTATTTCTAGAAGATTAGAAGGTGAGTTAACGTGCTCCGCTGAAAGACAGAGTGCTGCATGGAATCGCTTAAATATAGTAACAACGTACGCCTACGACTGCGTCGGCCTTCCTCGCGTTCGGGCCGAGCGTCGGGACCGGTATCGGACCAATCACCCCTAAGTCTCAATCTGCGCACTGGCAATGGCGACCGTAGTCTTTGCTTTTTCACTTCCCCTTTTCCTACCGTAATATCTTTCTTTAATTGAACGTTACCATGGTCCTAGATCAAGTAATTCGTTTCATCGTTGATTCAGACGAGTATGATTGGTTAGAAACAGACGTGATGTCAATACCTTTATGTTAAATAAATAAATATAATCGCTACAGTAACTGGCTAGAATCTCCTGCCCGTCGGGACTGAACGTCAACGACGTCATTCTGTGGGAAGTTCCTTCGAACTCCGGAACCGTGAATGTGGATAAGGCATTTGCTCCGTTTGTGTCTGTCAATCCTGTATGGAAATTGTTACTCTCACGATTATGTTTTCAAGGAAGGAATTGACGTGAACGCGACACTTACCGGTAGCTGGGGTTCCAAGTGTTCTTCTGTCGTATATTCTAACCGTCCCGTCGGAACAGCCAATTGCTATTTGATTTGGAGAAGTAAGGTTCACAGACAACGCCGTTATTGCTTTCTCGCAGGAAATTAATACATCCTGTTAGGATATAAATTGTTATTCTTAGCATTTTCTATGATTTATATATGTTTCGTTTGTCGTTTACCTCTTTACATCTTGGGATATTACACTTTTCCTTTATTCTGAGATCAAAATATCGCACTGTACCATCCTCTCCACAACTAAGGAAGCTATGCGGTTCACCAGGTATTGTTACTACTTCGTAAGTAGTGCCACTATGACAATTGAATCGATTACCATACGTTTCTACTTTTCTCATTAAATCTGTAAGCATTGAAATCTATTGTTAGAAATTGTAAGGACCAAACTGTTACGGATACCCTGAAAGGTTGATGAAGTTTCACCTGTATACAAAATAGTGCCATCACCACTACAAGAAACTATCCGATGATCTCCACTATTTGGCAAAAACTTTGCACTAAATATGTTTGCTCTATGGCTGGTTTTATACATTACTTCCACCTACAATAGAAATATGAATTACTTGAGGAGAGATCAATCCGCGTTCTTTTAATAGAATCTATGTGATCTGTTTCATTTCAAATTCATTAAATGCATAGAACTGTTCATCCCACTTAATTAGTAAATGGTTCTAGATTGATGGCTCTAGATGACAAAATTAGCAGCACACGCACCACACGCAAGGGTTTTTGTTCATTTGGCAGAGCTTCTGCATTTCTATCTATGTCAATGTTAGACCTTGGCTAGAATTAAACTATCTATGATATTTCCTTCAAAAGGTTTATTGCCAATGTAACTTCCCTGAGGACATTTCCTGTTGTTAGTATTTAATGGTGTACACTTTGCTTCCATGCGTATAACTCAAGTAAAGGGACACTTCAAATAAAAAAAATCTGTGGATGGTATGGTACTTTATACTTGTATCTACTGTGGCCTATAGAGCATACCTTTCATACTAGTGTTAATAAAAGCAACATCTGTGAACAATGTAAGTAAATGTCTCTGTCAGATTGATTAGCATATAGATTGGTAGGGATTTAAGAAATTAAATATAAAATACATTAAATAAAACAGAATTTCAGTAATGAATTATAAAATATGAAAAGTGCATGTGCATGGCTTCAGTTAGATGCGACTTATGAGTAGGAAAAATATAAATAATCTTGGCACAAATTTTCACAAGGCTCATAAACATATCTGAAATTAATACACAGGACAAAGTAATAAATTCCCTCAGCATAAGTTGCACCAGTATTAGTTCACTTATAAATTAAACTGTTGTATGCAATGGTTAATAATAAACATTTCTGACTAAACCCAGTTAAAATTATACCCTAACAATTCACAGAAACCTCGCTTATTTTGTGAAACGTCAATTTGTGAAAAAACATTATATCTGTTCCTTTTCCACATACTCGAGCACATACGACAATTAATATTACCAAACATTATCTAACCTTATACGTGTAAGGGCACGTGAGTACAAGGTGCTGATCATCGCTACCGGACAATATCAAATCACCAGTAGCATTCCAAACAATAGAGTTTACGCAACCGTTATGCACATTTAATCTTTTCAACAAAGCCATACGCTGCATCATCTGGAGGCTCGCTGGAACACATTGAACGGAATGAAAATATTGACACGGACGAAAATCTATCAAAGACACAGACGCATTAGAAGGATTCAGAAGTAATTTTTCTTTCCAAAACTGAAACTCCAAAAACGGAGTACAAATGGCAGGCCGTTCTTGCAACGTTCGCGCGTCGTTTAATCCTCGATTGCGTCGATTCGCGTAAGGTAAGAGAACCGATTTCTCACGACGTTACACTGCACAATGACGTTATCAAATTTTGCACTGAAAAACATATGGCTTGGATACCTTTGGTGCTGCGGTAAAGACTCGTCCTGGTGCAGTCATTGTACGGTTGATAGTAAATGTCACGGAAGATATTCGGACGTGATTTCTTCATGGTTTCGGCTGGTTTGTCGCGATCGAGCTTTCGTATCAGTTTGCAGAACGCATCGATCGGGGATTAATATGAAATATCCTGGACGAGCAAGGTGAGAGTGGTGTGAACACGCGAATCTGTCAATCAACGAAGAAACAGAACGTCGTGTATCGACCGAATCAGAAACCATGTAGCGTGCTGTTACGCAGCAAAAATCCACGAGGATCGTTCCGAAACGACATGGCACCTTTGTACTAAAAATAAACCACGGAGCTTCGAAAATTTGTGCAATCGGACGAGCCGAGTGATCACTTCTGACCAGAACAGCTGAGCGAATGTATACACACACAGCGCTGAAAAGAAAGTGCGCGAGAGCTCGACCATTCCTCGCTACTATAATCGATGCCAGCAGTAATGTAACGCGTATTTCAGGAACCCTACACCCACGGTGTGTCAGAATGCACATTAATAATTCAATAGAAATAAATGTCCGATAACATGCACAGTTTTCCAATCCCTGTAAATGTTAATCGTACTCTGTTAATGGCATTTATTTTAAAATTCCTTTCTATACTTAATCCATGTGTTATTGATAGATCCCGTTTCGATCGATCTCATTAATAATTCAAATTTACTGCGAATAAATATTAAAATTACAAATACAGGATATAAAGTATATATAACGTTTACGATGCATGTAATGAAAAGCTGTTTTACATTGAAATAGTTCATTATATATGCTTTTGGACGTCACGACAATTAATTCTTGCCGCTGTGAACGTAACATCTCCTGTATAAAGCGGCAAGAATCATCTGCTTTGAAGAATATGCACTTTTATTTAGTGGCGCCATCCGTGGAGGAACGTTCAAACTGGTAGACAACTATTACCGATGTGGGAGCTCACACAAGCGATTGCAGCGCCATCAGTGGCAAAGCGCTCAAACTGGTAGACAACTGTTACCGATGTGGGAATTCCCAGCAGAGACACACTGTTACCATTTGGCGAGAAGTTTCAGCGTCTTTCGAATAGATGGCGCAGAAATCCAGATTAAAGGAGTTTCTCACACCGATTCCAGAGGTCTCTCGTAGGGGTCTACTGGGGTTCGAGGGATTTCTCATTTCGATTCCGGCAGTCACACGCGCAACACTTCAAGGGGTTTCTCATATTG